GTTGGTGTCCATAAAGTCTCTTAGGCATCATCCTTCATCTTTTTTTCTCTCCTCTTATTCTATGATTTCAAATGACCTGTATTCAAATTTGTTGATTCTTTCTTCTGCTTGATCAAGTCTACTGTTGAACCCATCTAGTGAATTTTTAAATTCAATTATAGCATTCATTCTTCAGCTCTAGAAATTTTTTAATAGTTTTTGGTTCTTTTTTTATAGTTTCTATCTCTTTGTTGTTATTCTCATTTTTTCATGCATCATTTTCCTGATTTCAGTTAGTTTTCTGTGTTCTCTTCAAATTTGTTGAGCTTCTTTAAGATGATTGTTTTGAATTATTTGTCAGATCATTCATAGATCTCTATTTCTTTAGGATTGTTATTCAAGATTTATCTTTTTCCTTTGATTGTTCATGCTTCCCTGTTGTTGTTGTTTTTTTGGTTGTTTTTTAATGTGCCTTATTATTTTTTGCTGAGATTTGGGCCTTTGGAAAAATGGACACATTTCCCAGTCAGCACAGACTAGCTTTGTATAGAGAAAGGCTCCCATCAGTCAGCCCAGCTAGAGACCTGGGGATGTCTCAAACCTTTTCTGGGGATGTGTCTTCTCTGGGCTTGTGCATGTAATTTCTGAATTAGGGAGGTGTGCGGTTTCTTTTTTAGGAGTTTGTGATCTTTTGCTCCCTCTGGTGTCTATCTTCAGTATCGCAGGTTCTCTGGTACTTCAACAAACCACCAAACTCTCTTTTGTTTTTAGCATCCTTCAAGCATCCAAAATATGCCAGGTCCTCTCCAGCACTCTGAGTCCAGTGAGAAACAAACCAGTCCCTAGGGCAGCTCCCCAAACAACTGGAAAATTAGATTATGTTCTGCTCTTCTCTTTCCCTCCTTAGGGAGAAGCTAAGAATTGGGCAATTTCTCCCAACTGCGCTGACCTGTGCCAGCTCGGAGGAAGGGCTATCACAGGCAAAATCAAGTGGCTTTTCTTACTCATTTTAATGAAGTTGTTCTTGGCTTTGTGCTTGCCTAGGGTACTGCAACCTCCTAACTGGTTTCTAGAGTTCTTATAAATGCTTTTTGGATGGTATATTGCTGTTAAGTTGATGTCTCTATAAAGAAACAAGGTTTGGGACTCTTATCCCGCCATCCTGCTGACATCACTGTGGCCTGCAAGTCTTTAGTAGGAGTCTGCCGTGACTCTGGCTCAGCTTCTCTCTTGGGCCTGCAGCCCTACATAGGCACTCTCCCAGCAGATCACATGCTTTCTTTAAAGGACAAGTCTCTGGATTTAGTGCCAGAGTAGAACCTGCAGTTACTGTCTTACAAGGTAGCATGAGGGGGATGGTTCCCTGTGGCCCCAGCTTTCCTGAAGACAGTTCTCCAATGCACTGACTTTGGTGCGGACTCCCTGGCCCACCCTTTCCTTTGTGGGGTTGAACATGACATTGGTCCCTCACTAAGGCTCCTTTGGGAGGTCCTTCCATTGTCTCGGGATCCTTGAGCTGCACGTTCCGCTCCATCAGAAGCTCTGGCAAATTTTCCAATCTCATTTTTTTAGAATATATATCTGTCATTTCAGGGAACCCTGGGGAGGTGGAAGAGGTAGGTGTGTGTGCTACCATCTTAAAATGAAAATTTCTGAGTTTTTTTTCCTTAAGAGCCTAATTCCATACATTTTTTTTCCAAGCTTGGTTCCATTAACCATTTCTTATTAATCGGCATTTGGCATGTAATTTGGTAGTCAGCAGAGGATGCTCTTTGGAAGGAGTTTCCTTTATTCAGTGGTGGCTGGCTCTGAATGGGAAGATGCACTGTGGCAGACACACCACTGTAGGAATCAAATTAGCTCTTCAGGATTTCAAGAATTTAACTCTAATTTGCATTTTCTACTTCAGAAGAGAGGGTTGGGGACACACTGCTATAAACACAGCTGCTACTGTGGATCATGTCATGAGTTTTCTAGTTTCTGTAAAATAAAATGGTCCTGCTCACTCTCTGTGCACCTGGCACAAGACTCCTGAGTGTGACAGCCCTGCAGGGACCAAAGGTAAGGGGCGTGCTGCTGGCCTGGGAGACGGTGCCCTTCTGAGTGCTGATTTCCTGTGGTCCCACCTCCTCCTCTTCCTCACTAAGACACCCCGCAATCAGTACTTGAAGCACGTAGTTATGGAAAAACAACTTCTTCATATTTATTAGTTTTAAAATTCTGCCCATCTCTGCCCACCCCCCCACTCCACCACCTCCAGTGTTTCTTTTCTCCTTAACTTTGTTTAGGATATAATTGTGTGAGTTTTACTTTAAAAGAACATCATTGATCAAGAATCACAATCATGGCCCAGAACTTGTCTTCTGTTTTCATGGACAGACTGTGAAAAGCTCGCCCAACTATTCATTTTGAGTATGTTTTTCTACAAATTCCTATTTCATCTAAGGTTTTCTTTTATTTACAGAGACAAGCTAAACTGTGTTTTATAATTTTTTTCTCAGTTCAGTTAACATAAAGCAGTTTCCAGCCTTAAAACAGATTTGCTGTGTGGGAAATGTAAACAAGACTTTTAAAATTAATCTTTTGAAACTTGGCGGGTGTCTAAATGATCCTTTCCTGACCACGAGACAGTGTTGGCTTTTTCCTGCTCCCCTTCACCCTCTTCTGGAAGCCAGTCCCCTGCTGCCGGAGGCCCCCCACTTCCAAGCACTGGAGGTCAAGTCGGTGGGGGGCAGGGCAGGGCAAAGAGAGAGAGTTTAGCACCAGCTCATAAATTAATTAACAGGTATCTGTGAACGGTGTTGCTCCTCTACCCTCCCAGAGGTGTTTTCACTTTTTTAAAATGATGTGTTTAAAACAAACAAAGCTGTAAGATTGATGGGACCTCTGGGTATAGCCATGTGTGTGTGTGGGGGGGTCATTGTGACAGGAAGTTTGGGAGGTAAGGATGTGGTGCTAGAAGGCCACCATCTGAGCAGCCTGGCCCTTTCTACACGCTCTCTGTGTGTTTGCAGAATGCATGAATCAAAAGTGACTGCCAGACTCTGTGATCACCAGTTGCCTGGTTTTGGTTTGTGTCCTGGGTGCATGGACAGTTGTGACCGGGTGGGTAGGTTAGGAGCCAACAGGGCAGGTGTCACTCATTTGTGGAGTGAGAGATCCCTGTGTTCTTTTTCACATAAGTGTTTTTTCCCCATGTAAAAGTCACACATGCCACTAAAGACTAAAGGTAAAGAGATCGCCCATAGTGCCACCATCCAAAGGAAACCACTAGGAACAGTTGACACGTGTTACAAGCTCCGTACATCTGAGGGAAGACCACAGAAGGGTCTATGTCTCACTAATTCCCGCTGAGACCCCAAGGAAGAGAAATGGGGACAGATGTGTTAGGAGAGAGGAAAGAGGCCGGGGCCTGGGCCATGGTGGTGCTCTGGCAATGTGAGGACACAGTTTCTCAAAAACGGGAGATTTCTTTTCATACACTAATTTGTTTATTTCCATTGCAAAGGTTAAGTGAAATTATATCTCAGTATTCTAATGGGTTGAAATAATGGCACAGTAGAGCTTTTTCTGAATTATTCATTTGTTCTTTGTAGATAACATTCAGGTTCCTGTTAATTCAATTCCGTTAGTTCAGAATTAGAACATAGGATGTCATCTGGTCTGTGATGCATCACCTACTTGTTTTCCCACAACAGACTCCTAATCAGGGTCTTCCAGTGTCTTCTCTGGTCGTGGCAGCCACATTTCTGGGAAGGCTGCCCATCCCTGGTTCCCCAAACCTCTTGTTGATATCAGGCAATGCCTGGCCTGCCCTGGGGTTCTGCTGATTTCGAGTCTTTGGATTGAATTATTGCTGGTTTGGTATGATGCTGACTTCCTTCATTACGTCCTGCATCTCCCAAGAGACATCCAGATGTTATTCATCCTTCACTCTCCTTTGAAAACATCGCAGTAAAAAATTATTTCATTTTCTCAGCCGTCTTTCTTGTTATTGTTAGTAATTCAGTGCAACATTTCTTAGAGGCTGTTTCATCTCCTTCCCCAATATTTCTTTATGCCTTTTAATTATTTCTTACCTTAAAAATTATTTCACAGCCTTTAATATTTAATAATTCATGCTGTCATCAAAGAGGCAACTTTAGTTTCTTGATCGTTCAGATTTCTGTGGGCATTGATCCTGGATCACAAAATGATGCTGGAATTGGAGACCCATCCACAAGTTGAGGTCGTACACCTAGGGATAGGCTCACCAATGGAAACAGTCCCGTTGGCTTATTTCTGTTCTTCAGAGAAAGAAGCATAATCATAAACCTCATGTTCTTATGTTATAGGGACCTTTTCATGACGTTGAGGTAGAAGGGAAATCGCATAGCCAAGGTGTAAGTTTCCCATGTTGTTACGTGTACACTGTGCACGTGCTAAAGCGCGCTCTCTGCATTCCTGTGCACCTCCCGAGAGTTCGGAGGCGGCAGCATAAGGTAGTGTATCACCGTCAGTCGCTCCATCAGTATTTATTATTATCTCAGGAGAGAAACTCCACAAACACTGCTGAGGATGCAGAGGCGTCAGTGCAGCTCATGTCTCAGGCACCTGTGCGTTTCCTGTAACGTGGCCTGAGGCTCAGCACTGGGAGGAAGCTGCTGGGTGAAAGACGGAGTGGCCGCGAATGTCGAATGCTGAGAGGCATCGGCTGTTGGCACACAAAGAGAAAAACATGTGGAAGACCCTCCAGCATAACCCTTTTGCCCCTATTAAACAGCGGGGGCAGCCTATGGTATCAATTTAGGGAATGACCGATTTTCAAAGAATAAAGTCAAGTCAGCCAGTAATTATTGGACGGGCCACAGCGGTGGATTAGCTATAACTCCCGGGCCTGGCTGACGTCTGATACTTTACAGGCCCGTAATCAGAGCCTGCCGGGATGTACGAGGGGGATCGCAGATCGCTTGGCTCCTAACCTGTCTCCTGTCTCCTGGCTCGGATGCGGCGCGTCACCGTGTCCTCTTTCTCCGTTTCAGCACGCTCTCCTGGCACTGAAGTTCATCCTTGCCTTTGCCATCCCTGATAAACCACGGCACATCCAGACGAAACTGGCCAGGTTGGAATTTGAGTCCTTGGAGGCACTGAAGCAGCAGGTAAGGGCAGCTGTCCTGAAAATAAATGTCTTTCTTTAGCAAAGGCCAGGCAGGAGACACAATTCAGGGGACTCGCTCTCAGCATGTCCTTCAGCCTCGATCTGACCAATTTGATAAATACAGAAGACTGCATTTAGGACGGCACAGCAAAACCCAAGTCCTAGTAATGCGAGCGACAAATGGGTTTAATGAACTGAATAAACTAAGCAAAACAAAAATATTCCAGCAGTGCTCCGTAGACTAGAGCCAGCACTCAGCAAAGGGAGGGATTTCCAAGAATCGCCCCGGGCCGCTCCCCCCAGTTTCTACGTCTGCGCCTCCAGAAACACGGAGCAAGAAGTGAGTGAGCAGAATCCTGAGGAGCTTGCAGAGGGCCACCCAGGAAGTGTGGGCAGGAACAGCAAAAACGCCAAAAAGTAGAGACCTCTTCCCAGGACTTCCACGTTTTATAGGGACCCAAGAAATGAGAGAGAGAGGGAGACCGAGCCACGCTGGAGTTGCCCAGCCTCCCTCAGGGCAGCGGTCATGGCCGTGGTTCGAGTAATTCCCTGACTTCCCTGCTGCCCCTTTCAGATCCCAGGCACGTCCTTCACATACTTCCTCCTCCTCCCTCTTTCTTTTTAGAAAAAAAATTTAAACATCAGGTGGAATCTTCAGAGTGAAATTTATTTTCACATAATATATATTTTACACTTAAAGCTTGAGGCCACGAATCAAGTGGGGAGACCGAGATGCCAGCGAGGCTAGTGGCACTGCTTGTAAATTCCTCAGTAAACGTGGGTCGAGGCCGGCGAAGGCCAGGACCAGGACGGGGACAGGCCTGCAGCCTTTCACTGGGCACCCTTCAGTATTTAAAGCATCGATTCAGCTCCCCTTTAAAGGCGAGGCTGGGACCGCAGGTGCGGGGCTGAGAAGTACATGCACCGGGAGGCTGGGCAGAGCGCAGCCCTGCAGCCGCCCTCCTTCTGCCTGGGGGCCCGTGGGCGCAAACAGCTGGGCACCCAGGGCCCCTGCGGTTCTCAGGCAGGCCCCGGGCCACCCCGCCCGCGCTGTGGGTCCCTTATTCCACGTAGCTCTGAGGCGGTGTGGTGAGTGCGGGAGTGAGCGGGGAGAGGTACTGAGAGCGGTTCTTTTTTCGCTGTCAGATAGGAAACCGCTGCGTTCCTGAAGATATAAGCAAATTAGATGCGCCTAAGGTGAGAGGCAGGCTGGGCGAAATAAAACTGTTTGCTTCACAAAGGGCATTTTCAAATGATCGGGCCTCAGCTGGGGAGACCTTTCCCAAGAACTCTAGACAGTAGATGTCATCCCAGGGATGCCCTTTTATTTCTTTTCAAATTGATTTATTCAGTGCTCAGTAATTTTAAGCTCCAATTAAAAATAGAAAGGAGTCGGACCGGACGGCCTCTAGCACAAGGACACAGCTTGCTGGGTGCAGTCACCTTGGGAACTGGCCTCTGGGCACCCAGCCCTCCCGGGGAACCAGAGCCGCACCCAGAAGCAGAGCTGGGTCCAAATGGAGGCTTTGAGAAAGATAACAGCCTAGGAAATCAGTTGAAAGGACCAGATAAGGACTTTAGAAGATACCCCAGTGCTAATTATAGCCCGGGGCCTCACATCTGATGTGGGACCCTTGACTGGGCAGGCCTCGGGCCAGCCAGTGTTAGCTAATGTCTTTGTTTTCTAGGGTTAAGTGTATTTAAACCTATTCCAACAGTTCCCAAGAGCCTCTGAACTTTTCTTTCCCTGCATTTGTGCTCTGAGTATGGTAGGTAAATACTCATTTTTAGTGGAAAGTTGGAAGTGTCACACATAGAATGAGGGTGTGAGATGTTTGACTGTTGAACATGGAATTGCATGTGGATCTGTCTGCATGTCCTTCCGAGTAAAATGAGTGAAACGATGCAGTGAGATGAAGAAGTGGCTTCCCAGAAAGCCCGGGGCGGCAGGGTGGAGCCTCGGTCCTTGGGGAGGAGCTGGTCCCTTTCCCAGGACCCAGGCCAGGTCCCAGCCTAGGAAGCTCCAGGTGAAAGGAAACCAGAGTTTAGTGTCTTGGGAGTTTGGTGGCCCTCTGAGGTGATCTGTCACCTTTTCCTGTGTCAGGTGGTTTGTCTCACCACTCTGTGCAGCTTCAGGGTGAATGACTTGACCTGTCTGTGTCATAGTTTCCCCAACACTGAAATGAACCCCAAAAAAGTGGTTGAGTGTGGCTGGAGGGAGACAGCGTGCATAGGACACAGTGGGAAGCAGTGTGGTGGGGGGAGATGGGGATGGGATGGGGATGGGATGGAGGGGGAGAACCACCTCATGCTTGGGCACCCTGCATCACTGGGCGAACCAGGAAGGAATTCTGGGATAAAATGGTACCATAAAACCAGATTAGATGGCAAGTCACAGTTCCTCCTTTGTGGCAGCCCCACCTGTTCTGACTGGCACTCAGCTGGGCAGTAATAATAATGGAGGGTAGCAACAGCTGGCACCAGTGGGCACGTGCGCTGGGCACTGCTCTAAGCCTTCTGCATGAACCCTGACTCCTCAGGACGGGTCTTGGGGTGTATTTATCTCCAACTCACAAATGCTCACTTTCTTCAAAGGCAACTCATGCTGTAACGGATACTGGCTCCCGGCACCTCTTGAGCCCCTCTCCCGTCATTCCTTCTTCTTCCTGTTGGGTCCAGTGGGGTTGCACTGCTCATAGATTCCCCAGCACCCTGCTACCCAGAGACTCTGCCATCAGCTTCACAGACCCACCCACCTCCTGGGGGAGCCTTCCCTTCACCATGTGACCTAGGGACCTGCTGCCCATTTCTGTGCGTCTATCTCACTGCGTTTGGTCAGGTGAAGCCACTCCTGCGTCCCCTCACCCAGCACAGGGAGTTAATCACACTGAATTTGTTGACACATACCTAGTTGAGAAGCTAATGTATTAAGTAAATAACAAATGATGTCTTTGGACAAAAAAAGAGAAATCTTAAAATAGGTGCTCTGGCAAAAATGGAAACAGTTAGGTCATAGGTCTTTCTGGGATCCCTGGGACAGATCACTACTCTGAGGAGGGGCATGTGAGCACTTTACAGGGCGCCATACCCAGCCTTGTTAAAGCTCAAATCCCATTTTCCAAAGGATTGACTGTGGTTGACATTAGTAACAAGGGTGGCTCCCAAAAGACTGTAAAATTATCCCAAATCAAGCCAGATAGAATTCTAAAGTAGTTCATTTTGCACAAATTCAGACCTGGGAACAATCCTTCCCTTACATTGATGGGTGGACTTTCCCCAGCATGCTCTGCACCCACTAGAGAGAAAAGTCTTCAAAGTGCACAGAGGCACCCAGACATTAAAATAAGATGCTTCACTGGGCTCTAGGAAGCTCTGACCATCTTGTCTTCGCTAGTGAATTTCTATATAAGTTGCTACTTATCTAATCCCCTGGTTTTCTAAGAAAAATTGAAAATGTGTGTATCTCAACTATTCTCCCCGATGTAAGAAATGTGGCCAAATCCGACTCAAATTTACTTTTACCTGTAGAGACCGCGGACTAGGCTATGAAATAGGACCACACTTAGCATCACCCTGGTCACCGTATGACTGGATCAGGAACAGTATGGCAGGGGGATGGAAGCACAGATCCACTCCCCACAGAAGGGCCCAGGGGGGCTGTGCTGTAGAGGAGACGCCCATGCTCTGGACCCTGTTCACATGTGTCCTTAAAATGTGTCTGTGTTTATAAAGAAAGAATTCTCCCTGTGATAAATTCTAGAGATTTCAGAATGCTTAAAACTACATATTTTAAAAGAAAAAAAGATATATTTTGGTAAGATATTAAAAGTTCTAAGAGTCCCAGTCTCAGGTTCTGTTCTAGATTAATAATTCCATTGTTTTGAGATTAATAATTCCTTTGCCTTGAGATTAATAATTCCATTGTCTTGAGGATCAACAGGTATAGGTCTTCCTTTTCCAGGTAAATGCCTGGACAGTTATATGCATCTATTTACTTGTTGTTTTTACCAAATTGCTAGGATATTGAAGACTGTATTGCTGGTTTCATCAAGGTCAAAGGTATTTGTCTGTGACCACCAGACTAGAAGCTCTCTAGGGACAGGATTACTCCAGACTTGGAATTTGTATTTGCTGAATGAATGAGTCAGTAATTAAATGAACATCACTAGGGTCAGAGCCCCATTCTTTTGTGCCTTTTTCTATTACTAAATTCTAGTCCTTGACTTTGAAATTTTCCTCTGTGTGTCATATTTGGGATTCAGGAAATCATTATTGAGCACTAACCATGTCAGGAAGCCACAGACTTTATTTTTAACTTTTGTTTTTAATTACTAGTAAATTGTTAAAATAGCAAATCTTTTATTTAAGGTAATAAGCAGTATTATTTTCCATTGATTTCCAATGCGACAGAACCTCAGATATGATTGAATATTATGTCGTGCAATGAATGTCAACCTAAGAGATTGGGATGGAAATATAGTGATCGATAGACTAAGAAATTTAGACTTTAAAGTAAGTCCTTAAGAACAGGACATTTAGTGATTTGCCTCTGTCTCCTGAGAATGGAATGCAGAAAATAAGAGATGTTTGGATTTAAGGACTTTTTGAAATACTACCTAATTAAAGGAAAATCATCACTTTGCACTAATAATGGCCCTAAGAACACAGTGAGTCATACTGAATTCATAGGTGAAGCAGAATTAAAACAGATATTAAATTCAGCAACAAATACTGAGTACATCCTGTGAGCAAAGCAAAAATATATAAATTATCAGAAATTCCCTGCATTATGTTTGTCAAATGTTAGAGTTGAAAAACTCTTGGTCCTGTTCCAAACCTGGATTTGATAGATTAAGGGAAGGGTCCCTAGCTGTGGTTGCTTCCAAGGTGGTCCCCAGTGTCCCTGCCTCCTGGTACCTACACCCTGTGGAGTGGCACTCAGTAGGTTCTAAAACAGTGAGCTTACCTTCTCTTTAAAATCCCTTTGGAACTGGAAATCAG